AAAAAAAAAAAAAAAAAAAAAAAGTGGTAATTTCAACTTTTCACAATATGCTGATTCAGCTACAGAGCATATATACAAAGGGCAACTAGACAAGAAATTAAAAAAATAATAATACTAATTGTACCGATCAAATAATAATAATAATAATAATAATAATAATAATAATAATAATAATAATAATAATTGCGTTTTAAAATGCCATATATTATTACGCAACATGCTAATGTAAAATAGAAGAAAATGTTAAAAATGGTGGCACAAAATATTTATAATTTCGTTGATGTCATTTTATTTTGTGTTTCATATTTGTTCATCAATTATATTATTAAAGTCCATGGTTAGTACATACGCATGCATCAAATATTATGACATACATCATATATGTACTATGTAAGCGAGTTGACTCCAACTTAGGCTATATATTGAATTAAAATAATTAAACAGAGAAATCAGCTCGAACTCAATTTATTTGTTAAAATTAATAAGTCAAACTTGAGTTTAATAATTTGAATTGATGTAAGGTAGAAGTTCAAAAAGTTACATAAAAAACACAATCCACAAGCCTTAAGTAGCATAGTCGAGCTTTGCTTGTTAATTAAATGAGTTGTTAACAAGCTTGGCAAGCCTAGTCGAGCTCGACTCTTAACAAACTCGAGCCCGACTCTTAACAAGTCGAGTTGCACCCACGAGTGGCCAAGTTCGTGAAATAGCTCTACACACATTTAACTAACACATAAGAAAGCGAAGAATACTATTTATATTTTATCACTTGAGCAACTATTTTTGCTATATATGTTTGGTAATTTAATTGAAAAGTTAGTCGATGGTTGATACATTATCTGATTGTTTAATAAGTTTATTTCGAGTTAATGGATGAAAAAGGCTAGTAGATATAATAAAAAAGTTTGGTAAATTAATTGATAAGCTAGGTGAAATAAAAAATTCAACATATTTTTTTGAAAAATAACTTGAGATGCTAAAAAAAAAAACCTCATCACATCGAACTAGGTGTGAGCAACGGTGTTGTTCGGTGAAAAACCGCATGGAACCGCAAAAAAAAAGGAACTTTGCAAAAAAAAATAACCAAATTGCACCGCAATTTTAAAGAAACCGAACTGAAACAGAACCGAATTTTTGTACACTAAATTTTCGGTTTTATCTCAATTTTTATATGCACTTTATGCAATTTGGTGCGGTTCGGTAAAAAACCGCACGGAACCGAAGAAAACTGAAAATTGAATTTATGAAAAACTATAACTGCACCGTACGTAATGGAGGAAAAAAAATCGAATCGAACAGAAACACACCGAATTGCACTACATCGAACCAAATTTAATTGACTACAATAAAAGTTGTAAACTAACAAAAAAATAACTTATAATGAAACACTTTCTACTTCTTTTATATTTGTTGATTTAATATTTAATATTTTCAACGGGGGTGGTGCAAAGTGGGCCGGTGGCCCACTCCTCACCAGCAATTAAATCCAACTCTGGATAAATTTGAAATCCGAAAGACAAATAAAACAAAAATAAAAGTAGAAAAAAAAAAAGTAATTGGACCAATCACTTGTAGTAGCCCACTCACTATACAACCCAAAAAGCCCTTTTCTATTGATCCAAAATATTTTTAAAATTAAATAATTATTCTTTTTTATATAAAACGAAATATAAAGAAAATATTACAGTCCCGTTACGGTATTATCTCGTCGGGTGTTTTAACCGTTGAATACATATTTAGTTAGATAAGATAGATGATCCAATAGTTAAAATACCTGATGACATGGTACCGTAACCGGACGATAGCATTTCCCGAAAGAAATAAACAGATAAATGCACCCTCCCAATCACAAGTACTCTTCCCCACCAACAAAAGCAGAATCCCAAGCTGCGATTTCTTAAGCTTTTTTCACTGCTAAATCCAATTTGAAGCTCTGTAATTTTTCGGCGAACAATCGTTAATGGAGGCCAACGAGTTTGGGCTTTATCACGATTCTGTTATTTGAAGTGCAATTTCAATGTAAGCAACATTTTCCCCCTTTTTTAGCTTTTATTTTAGGTGAAAGCTACGCTTTAATGGTTATTTCCGTCGAGTTCATGAGTTTGTGTTTATTGATTTACAGACTCTGAGCGTGTTTGTGTTGTGACATTTCGGTTTATTGAGATAACTCTTGGAGTTTGGCTGCCTGGGTTTATAGTTTAAGCTTCTTATGCCTTGAGATCAGTTAGATTCAATGATTAGAAATGTTGCAGGTTTATGATTTTCTTATGCTGTGTTTGTGATGAAAAAATTGGGGGAAAAAAGCAGTCCTGTTTGGTGTTTGTTCAGTGGATTAAACTGAAATCAATAGTAGAGTATGGGCCGCTATGGCTATTGGTCTTTTTTTTTTTTTTTCTTATGGTT